TTTAAAGTTAACACTTTTTGTCCAGATGTATCTCATCTGAACCGCTGAACTGCATTTACCATAGAACCAGTCTTTGTTTACATTCTGTTTGTGTAGTAGTTTTAGTTGCAAGTTGGTCCAAAGCACCAGTATTCTCTCATCCTTTCATTCTCATAACAATCCTGTGAAGTAGGTTAAGCCAAGAGATATTGTTTAAAAAATAAAATAAAGATAATGTCTGGATCATTGTAGATCAAAATGTTGAAAGCAGACAAATCAGCAGCTGTACAAAGAGTAGTAAACTATGTGTCATTATTTTTTTGGCAGCTTTGGAAGTTGAAAATTAGCTTTCTTTTGTTTGGCAAATGGTCATGGGAAGGAGACAACAGACTCTGTTTTCTGTGATTTGAAGATGTGACTTTGGAGACAGTAATGTGTTAGTACTTTCAGATGACTGATTCCATGGTTCAGCTAAAAAAATAAACCTGGCTTCTCCAGATCAAAGTTCTGCATGTTATCCAGTATAGTTCACTAATTCCAATTGGTTCAATAATTTTGTTTCGGGATAGTAAGCGCGTATAATTTTCTTCTCTTCCACTACACAAGAGTCTCTTTGAGAGGTGGTGGTTGGAATGGGGCAGTAGTGTTATCTTTCTGTAAATCAGTTGTGTCTTTTTTTTTAAACTGAGATTTGCTAGTGTTTGCTTTTAGCTTTTGAGAACCTGTTGTAAGTGTGGCTGGTCAGTCAGTCAGTCCAAAACATCCCAAGTGCTAATGTAAATACTTTAGATTAAGTAATCCCCTTGGACCAGGCTTTTTTTCAACAGTGTTTAATCTTTGGTTAAGCTTTTGATAAATATTTTGCATATGTTTTTCTTTTCTAGTTAGTCTTAAATAGATGTGCTGTCACAACAGTGAGAAATTAAACTGACATTTGATTTATAGCTTAACACTAGATAAACTTGGCAGCCGCCAGACATATATGTGCCTAATATGATACAGAAATGCAGGATGTGAGTTGTATCCTGTTTCACTTTGACTGTTTTCAGCTGTCATAAAAATTGACCAATATAGTAACTTCTGCCCAAATATAATAAAAGTCGAAGCTCATTTCAAGATGCCTGAAAACAGATCATTAAAATGAAGCAGTTACTCAGCTGTTTCTGGAACTATTTTATTAGTTATTGTGAAGTTGGCCAGACTGTAGAGCAATGTTTAGGACAAATGGATTTTCATGGGGGATTAGATACATGTTGAATGCTTCCTTTCCCCAGTCTTTCTTTCCTTGAATTCTGCTTCTTATCTCCATCTATGTATTGCTGCAAACATAGTTTGTTATGATATTTAAATCAGTTAACAATAGAAACCAAACTGTAGTCTAGTTGCTCAACTCAGGTGCCAAGACAAACTGTGGTTATGGCAATTTTCTAGAGGAACAGTATAAATTTGAAGCAATTTAGACTGTCAATAATTTTTTTTGTAATGTTGCTTATGAGAGTGTGAAAAACCAATACAGAAACAAATAAATCACAATTCAAAACTCAAGTTAAAGGGCATGACCCAAAAGGAGGACATTGACATGCTGGGAGGGGAACAGCACAAGGATGAGAAAGTGGAGTAGGGGACATAGCATGGAGTATGCTGGAATAGTGAATCATTACTCCATGTGTAGAAGCTTGCTATTGCAACATCACAATACTAACAGGATCAATGTCACAATAAATACCATGATCTGTCAAGAAGGGAAAGGAAAAGGTATAAAAAGAGACAAAACATCACAATACTGTACAGTAATACCACTGTCTAGAAGAGCCCTGAGATTTTGTTTCGAATCAGTAAAATGAGGAGGGTGGTTATGCTTTTCAATCACTTTTTTAATGATAAATGTTTTTTCATGCATATACTTTGTCTTCACATCAGTCCAGGTATTACCACTCTTTACTGTCTATTTATAAAACGTTTTTTTTAAAAAATGTTCTTACAGTTAAAGAAACTTCTCAATACTGTACTTAATTAGATCTGGATGTGGGTTTTGGCATGGCATTAAAGAGAATAGCACCATATAGATGGTTTTGATGCTGTTGATTAAAAACGGCTGGTAGAATTCATCTCAGAAATCTTGTAAGGGGTGGCAAATAGAGAAGGGATTTATGCAGTTAATGTAATTCAACCTTTTTTTTCCTCTTTTGTTATTTATATGCCTTTCCTGTAGAGTGGTCTTGTGTCTAAAATATATTTGTAGAAAGTTTCTGGCTCTATAGATAGTAAAATGGACACCAGACAAAGAAGTTATATTGTAGTGGGAGTATATTATGAGTCTAAGCTAGAGTCCATATAAGATTTTAGTCTAGTCATATTTTGAGTTTAAGTCATATTTTGAGTTTAGGGCCAGTCAATGTTTCATCTTAACTATTTCATCTCTACCCAGAAATATAGTACAGTGAAGGCTGCTAATCTGGTCAGCCACACATTTTTAGACCTCTTGGGAACTTCTTGGCCATGTATCTTTTCCTTCTTCCTCCAGGACAGCCAAAGCCTGTTTTCTAATAAGAGTATGAGAATTGCAAGCATCTTAGTGTATTTCCTTTGAGAGGCTGTTGGTTTGAAGAGCTCTTCTGAAGGACTGTCTTGATTGTAAGATGATGAAGAATATGTGATTTCTTTTTCTTAGTGCCCCCTTCACTACATTTCTCTGGATCATGGTTTCATCCAGTATTATTCTAATTCATTTTCCTCTTTTAAGAGTATGCATACATGTCATGGATTAATACTCTAGTGCAGTGACTGGCTAATAACAATATTGGTGCAAAAGTGATTGATATTTTGGTCAGATGCATCACTTCTCATAGTGTCTTGGTTGTACCTTCCCAGCTAAAGAGTTAAGAGAGAACTTCCTAATCACTCTTCAGAATAATTGCTTTTATCCAGACAAGTTAGGAAGTGAACAATATATTTTGAGACCACAGTGAATATTACTCGTCTTCCTGTTTTTAGTGAAAAATGGGACTAATTATTGGGAAGGAAGGATAATAGTAAATGTCATACTGTGTTAACCCAGTATCCCTGTGCTTTGAGTGCATGTGATACTGTGTTCTGTGATTTCAGTGAGTTCAAAAGTCACTGTTGAGCTGTGTACTGAAAAACTAGTGTGGTGTGAGGACAGTCTTATGGTGTACCAGTTAAGATTTCTTTGGTGGGGGTGGGTGGGTTCTGGGCTTTGTAAATATTGTCCCACATTGCCAGAGAGTTGGACTAGATGACTCTTGGGACTGTGCCAGCCTCACAGTTTTGTAATCCTATGATTAAGCAGCATGTTTCTCTAAGTAAAGCACATAACCTATCAATAAAGTGTCTCCTTTGTAAATTCATGATTGGCTTATCAGGCTGTTGTAGTACTTACAGAAATAGTTACCATGTCTTTGCAGTCTTACAAAGAGGGCAGTTGGTGGGAGTGTGGTGTGTGTACAGTAAACTGACTGACACTCTACTAGAGGTAAAAATTAAGTACTAGAACTTCTAAGAGATAGGATTCTTAAGAGTGAACTTACAAGGAAAAGTGTCAGGTTACTAGACGTGGTCCTTACTGAATGCTCTATATTTACCAAAGTAACTCACATACATTTGTTCCTGGAATGATGCAAGATAAGCAGCTTGATAGTTTTAATGCTCCTTTGGGAACAGGCAGGAGAGTGGAGTAGTTTGTGGAGTGGTTTGGGAGGAAAAGGAGCAGGTTAAGAATGCTTTCACCAAAGTATCAATTTTACCTTTAAGCTTCCTTTAGGGATATGCAAGTATTATATAGAAATTCAGTTCCAAATTTGTATCTTAAGTCCACTGCCTCACAAGTTTTTTTTTCTTTTTCCTCAAAAAAGTGAATTGTAGATTAATGTCTATAGAAAAGCAGAAAGCATTGCTGGAATTTTATTTAAAGACATTTTCTGTCTTTTAAAATCAGATGTGGTATCTTATTTTAGCATATTAAAACTACTATGGCATCAAATGGAGAAGGTATCTCTGTTTGTAACCAGCCCTTGCTTCTCTGGCAGTGAAAATAAATTATGGGTGTATAATGGTTTATAAAGATGTGGGAGAAGCTTTGCGGGCTTATCAAGGAGACTAATAACAAGACGGACATTTTTCTTTCTTGAATAGATAACGAACAAATGGTTGTTTGTGGTTTATGGGCTGGAATGGGTTTTATGCCAGCCCAAATGGTTCAAAGCCAAATATGGCTGGGTACTGCTCATCTGAGAAACATGCTGAGCAAGGAGAAGAGTGCAGAATGCGATTGTTCAGTCGGAAGCATCTTTCACATTGAAGCAATAGCTTTCTTGACCAACATATGTATAATATTGGCTACGGCAGCATTGTGGTGCTTGCACGCAACATGAAATCCCATAGACATAAAGCCATAATCTCAAAAAAGAGACCAGCAATACAGGCAACTGTACATAAGTACAAAGCAGTTCTAGCAGTTTGCATCTCCACCAGGAGTAGGTCTTTGAGGTCTTCTTAATCCCGCATTTAAGGCCACACCACCCCCAAATACTTTGTGCTGCAATGTGATCACTCAAAATATTGCTAAGAAAATGCTGCCTCTCATATTGTTATTTATTTATTTATTTATTTATTTATTTATTTATTTATTTATTTACATACATACATACATACATACATACATACATACATACATACATACATACATACCCCGCCCATCTGGTCTACAAGACCACTCTAGGACTGCAGCTTAGCTTGGAGGCAACATGTAAACCTGTGGCTAAGAGATATCATCGTCCCTGTTTATCAGAAGATCCAGTGGTTTTGACTCTGCTACTCCATTTGATTTTGGAGAGAGGGCAGTACAGTCTGATTATGACCTGTCATTTGTGCAGTTCAAGCAGTCCCAAAAGAGGATAACGTTGACATTCTTAGCAGCATTAATGTCACCTGAATTGTTGATTCTAGTCAATACTGTATTTGCAAAGCTAAATATTCTTTTGTTCTTTTCCTTTTCCTTCTAGGATTCCATCTGAGTGGCACAGTAACAGAGCCTGCCACAACAACAGAACCAGAAATGACCTACAAAGTAGCCATCAGCTTTGACCGGTGTAAAATAACTTCTGTGACATGTGGTTGTGGGAACAAAGACATTTTTTATTGTGCTCATGTTGTGGCACTCTCGCTGTACAGAATTCGCAAGCCTGATCAGGTCAAACTCCGTCTTCCTATCTCAGAGACCCTTTTCCAAATGAACAGGGACCAGCTCCAAAAGTTTGTTCAGTATTTGATCACAGCCCATCATACAGAAGTACTTCCAACAGCCCAGAAGCTGGCTGATGAAATCTTGTCCTTCAACTCAGAAATCAATCAAGTGCACGGTACGTTTGCCTAGTTAAAAGCACTTCTGATAAATCACAGAAGTTTAGGAACATTGCTTTTGGGACTAGAACTCCCAGAATCCTCCAGTAAGCATGGCTCCTGGTTGGGGTTTCTGGGAATTGTAGTCTAAAAACAATTTTTAAAGCTTTGCTGGTAATTTTCCAAAGCAGAGGACAACCTGGCCAATGGATAATTTATAGCCAATCGTAAGAGTCAGTCAATCAGTATAGTCAGCTCTCTAAATGTTGTGCTTGTTAATGTTCCAGGACAAAAGGCTGTCAGCAGACTTGATCTTTCTCGGAAGGGAAGAGGTGGTAATTAGAGCCAAACTGGCACTCTCCTCTGAACTTTGTAAGTCTTGAGTGCAAATATTATTTGAGCCCAAATGCAAGCAAAGCTTGAAAGGGCTTTTTGGACTATCTCTGAGAATCCTTCAAGGCAGCATAGCCAGTGGCTCCAAGCTCGAAGCAAGATGGAACCCTGACATTCTTCACCTCCCATTCTGTTCTATGAAGTTGTTTGGCCATATATTTCCATATACAGTACTGGAAAATTTAAAAACCCATCTTTACTCTTACTTCTGTTTAGATAGACAGATGGCAGTGTAGGGGATTGAAGGTATAGAAAGGAAAGAGAGCCTGCCTATTTGAGTATGATATACTTGTGATGTTGAGGCCTCTCTGCTAGTCTGGTAGAGATAGAAAGAATGGTGGAATAGTTACTGTTCTCTTTCAATCATTTCATGTTTAAGTACCCAGCGTTGTGTTAAGCCAGATACTAAAGTATAAGAACACATTTGTTGCTGAGAGATATAGGTGGACAAGGTTTCCTCTCCATGCTCAATTTTCCTCTCCATGCTCAAGATCAGGATCTTCTGCTTTGAAGGTAGGAAATACGTAGTACTTTTCTGCAGGCGGGGCTGTATTGTAACTCTTGAGTGTCTTTAAATGCACATGGCCTTCGCAACATGTTTTGCATGGTGTGCTTTGGTCATTCTGTTCCACTGTGATTTGGATGTCAATATGTAATTTAATGTGTGCATATGTTCACCCACTTCAAAGACAGGAGGTGGAAAATCCTGTAGAACAATGGTTCCCAACCTTGTGTCCCCTTCTTGGACTAAAACTCCCAGAAGCCTTCACTATTAGCTGTGCTTGCCAAGATTTCTGTGAGTTATAGTTCAAGAACATCTGGGGATCCAAGGTTGGAAACCACTGCTGTAGAATATCATTTTCTGCCCTTTTGCAAATCCTCTCCATATGGATTCCCTCCACTCTTACCAAAAGCTCTTGGCTGTGTCCAAAATTGTCTGTTTCTGTAGATTTATATTTAACATGCATACAGATCAGTATGACTTTCTCTAACCCAAAACCCTTTGCGTGTGTTAAGACTATAGTTCCCATCATTCCCAACCATCAGAAGGCTAGTTCAAAGCTATGTGATCCTGAGCTCTATAGATTCTATAGTCCAGCTTTCAGAGGGCATTGATGACTGTTTAAATCCCTTATCTGTTCTGTAGCTTCTACAGCTCAAGAGTCCGATGTCTGAACATGTTACCATGTGGGGATTTGTCAGCTGCCATGGTGCTTGCAAAAGGCAGCCAGTGGCTTGTTAACTGTGAAGCTTGTGGGTGGGGTGGGGTAGGGTGGCAATAGAAGAAAACCGTTGTTTCTATTTGTAGATATTTTGAAGTGAGGAGTGATTTCTGGGTTTTTTTTTAAAACCTCAGTTTAGATCTCAGCTAATTATTTTGTAATGATATAACAGCTCAAATTCACATCTCCTCCTCTGAAACATTTTCTCCTTTCTAACTGCCAAAGGCAAAGCCAGTATGCTTGATCCTCAGTGATGACACACAAGATGTGCCTCCGAGGGTAGGATTAAAGATCTCTCATGCTTTGGTATGGATGAGGAAGGGACAAATCCTAAATCAATTGATTTCTCCTCATATGCCATCATTCTGACACAGCTCAGAGAACTGGAGATAGATCACCTGTCCTTCAAGCGGATTTGTATGTTAAATGGCTTCAACATCTGGCACACTTCTTGCCTAGTCCAGTATGGCCTATAATCAGTAATGTATACATGCATGCAGTGGAATCTCTTCATGAGAGTACCCTGGGGAATTAAGGGGTATGAAAAAGGCACAGGACTAAATAAAAGAATCTTGGGCTGAGGAATAATTTTCTTAAATCTCTAAGGGGAGCAAAGCTGCCAGCTAGAATTAGGAACTTGTGAGCTTGTATTTTTAACCTGCATTTTGATATTTTATTTATAATTTTAACTGCTTTTAAGTTGTTCATACTTTCTGCACTTAGTTCAGCTCTGCCATTTAGAATTTATTAGCTCTACCTCTTAACTCTAACCAGCCCTAGTATTTCGGTGTGTGTGTATTACGGTAGTTTATTCATCAGTTATAACCCCTGACTTGTGCTAGAGGCTACCATGTCTTTGTCCTGCTTTCCCCAGCCCCACAGCCAAAGAGAAACTGTAATTTCAAAGCAGGCAATGTGAATGTGTGTGTGAGGGGGCAATCACAGACAAACTGACAGCCTTTTGACCTTAAGAGAGGGGTGTATAAATTCCAAACCATGCTTCAAAGAGGCATGAGACCGTAGCCTTAGAAAACTGACATCAGCTGTCACAGACTTGTACCACCAATTTATGTACATTTTTTCTGCACTAACCATGAAGGGGTTGCGCTAAGCCTGAAGAAGTGGAATTTTCTTCACAAAAACTTCTATTTTGTTTAATTTTAGTGGTCCAATAAAAGGTATCGCCCACTCTTACATCCGTGTAATTTTGGGGACCATATGGACTTTTCTTTGTTCTCCCTTTCCCCAAAGGACCCTTAAGGCCTCCAACATTTCCCATCATGTCTTGTGGGGTGATATGAGCCCTGACTCCAAGGGGATCCCTCCACTTGGAGAGAATAAGCACCTATTTTTGGAGAATTGGAGTATATTGGAGTAACTCTTAAGACCAGGAAAAGCAAAAAGTGTCATGTGTGGGAAAGGAACAAAAGGTTTGTGATTGTGACAATTGTGACTGAATGAAAAATGAGGAAACATGTGCCTTCCAAGGTATTTTGGACTTCAGCCCTCATAAACATCAGCCAACACAACCAGTTCTGTGAGTTGTGACCAGGTGTTTCATGCCTTGGTTCTAGTATCTCCAACCATCGCCATCCAACTCATCTTTCTGTCCTCCATTCTTGTTCCTTGTGTTATGGTCTAAATCACTGTCAGACAGAAAGGAAGGTACTGTACTAGTCTTCATCTTAGAGCTTGATCCTAAGGAAGGTACTAGTCTTCATCTTAGAGCTTGATCCTTGGGCGACTGCAGTCTCCTCACTTCCAATTTTAAAGGCATTAACATTTTAAAAATTAAACAGAGAATCTGTGTGCCACCTAGGGAGCACTCTGGGCAATTTTGCCAGGATGTTAGAGTCTGCAGAACTGTTTTGGGCCTGGATAAGTATATTTTTCAACCCATTAGAGACGGAAAGTCACTTCCCTATTTTGAACTTCCCTCCTGATAGATTGCCCCCCCCCCCATATTCCAAAATTGCTGGCCTACACCCTCACAGTGGCTTTTCACTCTTTTATTGTAGGGACACAATAGGTTTGGTTTATTTTGTGACATGGATTTTTAGAAGCAAGTAAAAAAAAGCTATTTTTCAGTCCATTAGAGACGGAAAGTCACTTCTCTATTTTGAACTTCTCTCCTGATAGATTGCCCCCCCCCCCAATATTCCAAAATTGCTGGCCTGCACCCTCACAGTGGCTTTTCACTCTTTTATTGTAGGGACACAATAGGTTTGGTTTATTTTGTGACATGGATTTTTAGAAGCAAGTAAAAAAAAAATCAACATTGGCTTTTCTTTTCTTTCACTATTGTGTTTTTATAATATCAAATTAGTTGAGTATATCAAAAATAAATTGTAACTATATTTTCAGAGGCTTGTCATTGATGTGCTATATACTCAGAGCCTTTGCAAAATAGACAGTTCCTACTAATTTGCATACAGGTGGAAACATTTTGGTCATGGGAAAGAATATCAGAAATGACATACATTTGCTGCTGGGAAAAGACCCTTCATGCTCTGCTATTTAAAGTGTTTAGCTACAGTATTTGGCACCATGAATATGGGGAGAAGATTTTTTTTGATTATGATAAAGACAATTGGCCATTTTGATGCTCTGGGTGATTGTAGGACTTTCCTCTAGTAGATGGGGTATAAGTGTGGGGGGTTTGTCAATACCATACTTATTGTGACTCCATACCTTTGCTCTTAAAATATTTCCCCTGGAGGAGAGTATGTCTTGGGAGGCCTTACAGCCATCTGTGTACACTTAATAGGGTCTTATATATTTTTACTTTGCTTACTTTATTAATGTTACGCTTCAGTTATATAATATTTCATTTACTTTCTTATTGCCTTGATAGTTAATCACATTGTACCTGCTTTAGCTGCTATACTTTAATTATTATTAATATTTTTTCAACTGATTGAATTGTGTGATACTCATTTTAACAATATTGATTAGAGTATGACAGAATAACTTATTTATTTGTTCAGTCATCAAATAAACATATATAAAAAGACAGCTACTGTATATGTAACCAGAATTCATTATGCCTTTTCTGACAGTTTTGGGCTGTGCACACTTTTTAAAAAATCGCGATGTCTCTGAAGGGCACCATGTACTAACTAGTAATCTTCAAATGGGAGTAGAGAGGGCACAAGAAGATTGCATGCAAGTGGATTGAACAGGATAGAAAATGCCCTCTCTAAGTTCTTCTCAACTAGTGGAATCCATACTGTTGGTGGACCACACATGTTAGTCTCTAGGGGAAACAAATTTTATTCTCTCCCAGTCCTGTTGCCCTCCTCAGAGCAGAGAATGCTGTCTCTTACTTGCCTTGGATTATCCATCTGCAACCTTCTGGCCTGTTTGTAGTAACTTGCATCACTCTGGATTTCTGCTAATTGCCTGATCTTCTCGTCCAACAAACTGCCATAAATGATAAATATAACAACAGAAAGAGTGTAGACATACAAACATCCATCTTGGAAAAAGCAGACTTTTTCTTCCTTTCATGGTGGGAGTCAAGTCAGTTCTTTGACAGAGTGATTGGTGGGATGTAAGAAAGGCTGTGTTGGGAACGGCTGCTCCAGCTATTGCTTTCCTTCTTTCCTTGTGTCTTACTGTTCCAGGAATGACCCCTTTACTCACTGAAGTGTAGTAATATGCACAAGGCAAGTAGGTTAAAGTTCAACAGAGCATGCTCCAGGCACCATGATTTTTCATTGTCACCCAGGAATTTCTCTGCACAGAACCAGCCTGGTTCAAGGAACATGGCTTCTGTTTTGTTTTGTTGTTGGTACCAAATGTCAAACATCCAGATGCAGATATGCTGATAACTTCTACAAAGTCACTGTGTTGTCACTGGTCTTTACAAAGCTGCCTTTGAAGCATTTCAAAGGTTTGGAAATTGAATCTGTTTTTTTTTCTCCTTGTTTGTGCAAATTGACTGTAACACAACAATGCAGAATGCTTTCTAATTTCACTGGGGTGCTCAGCAACTGAGTGCTTTATAAACATTGCTTTGTCCTCACCAAGCGCAAACTGCTTTTTTCCTCTTTTCTGTCTGGAAGCTTCAAAAGGCAGGAGGAAGCTTGTCACGTTCTTCGTTTTTGAGTTTAGCTGCTTTTAACTACAAGGATTTTTGTCCAGTGTAGTGGCATTATAATCCTATACAAGGATACAGTTAATTGTCCAGTCTACCAGCATCTCTAGCAGATAAGTTGCATGTGTTGCATTACTAAATGCAAGCATAAAAAGTAAGAGGCGTTCAGTGCATGGGGATGTGGAGAAAGGATTCACAAGTATTCCGTGGAGGAGAGAGGGGGGAAAGACATGAGGCTTTAGGAAAGGCAAACAGAATCCTATTCCTTGGGCAGAATTATTTTTTCTTAATAAGATACTCTGATTGAGCATTTGAGACTCTTGGTCTTATCCTTGGAATGGCATGCACTGCACAGGAATTGCTTGCAATTATCCAGCAATCTTCAGTGGCTGTGTTTATTTTAAAAGAGACATGAGACATCATAAAGAGTTGCTAAAGCAAGATTGTTCTTCTAAGCCAGTCACCCATTAACACTAGTAGTCTCAGTGATCCCTTTTTGATTGTGCTCAGAAGCAGGTGGGCATGCACAAAGAGTCTGTCCCAGCATCAGTCATATGTACACATGGAACCTCACATATACCAGAAGTAACAGTTCATGCTAAGTGGTTTTTTTTTTTTTAAAATTCTCTGTTGTTTCCTTCTGTTCTTTTCTGCTGCTGGATGAAGGGTAAAATAGAATTTTCCACCTAATAGCAGAAGGCTCAGCCATGGATGCTTTTGCCATAGATGATCAGTGAACAGTATGCCATCTAACACCATTCTTGGAGCTGGGAAATGAACAAATTCACACTGCTTGCCCTGTCCTGCCTCCAAATGACTTCTGCTTTTTTCCAAGGTGCTTGGAATACTTATTCTTTCTCTTCCTGTTGCCAAAGGTGGTAGAACATCTAGGCCTGCTAATAGCTCATATTTATTCTCACTTCCACTATCTGCCAGTGGCAAGAGCGATCCAGAGTGCAAGGTGCTGATTATCCTCCTTTTGCCTGGCCAGTGAGATCCCCACTAGCTGTAGGTATGTGATGGCAGTGTCCTACAAAGGTGGTGGAAAATAATGTTTCCTCCGGCCCCACTATAGTTTAGGTTGCCATTTCTTTTTGGCTTTGATTGTGATCCTGAAATTCCTTCTCAGAATTTATTGCTAGTGAGCCTTCCTACAATAGCAGAGCCACAGACCCTCACTTAGGATTAAATTGCATTGGATCTCTTCTGCATGGACATCTAGTAATATTTCATGATGCCCACTCAGCTTCCTGATTCCATCAAGTGTGTATTGCTTATAAAATACATGTTCACTGGTTGGGCTGAAGAACGGCATCACCTTAAAGAAAAGTGAATAAAAGGTGATCCGTGGGCAACATGCCCTCCAGGAACATTTTTACAACCCCCTCAAACCCTGCAATGCAAAAATTAAAAAGGCCCCAAAGTGATTTATCTAATCTAGGAGCAGTGTTCTTTTGCTTCGGCACAGATGGGGAGGAGTCGTCAAACCCACCCACACCAAAATCAAAAGTAGAAGTGAGTATCTGGACGCTGGCAAATTTGTTTCTTCCATTTTGAATGTGTTTTGGGGGTATTCCTATACCTGATGTGGCCAGTGATTGAGTGAGTGATTTAAAATATTTTTACCAAGACGGCTTACATCATTAAAAGACAATATTTAAAGCTAAAAACAATGAGTATACAAAGGTGGCTTGCATCATAAAAGACAATATCTAAAACTTAAAAAATTAGTATTCGAAGGTAACTAGCATCATTAAAAGCTAAAAACAGTAAGTATACAAATGCTAGAAAAGATCTAACAAATACCACTCTAAGAAATAGTAAACGTAAGCAATACTAAAAACGCATTCAGAGCAGTAAGGAATAACAATCTATTTAAAAATCCCACTCAGGCAGCTACCGTAGTCACTCAGGGAAAGCTTGCCTTAAAAGAAAGGTCTTTTCCTGCTTGTGGAAGGCCAGCAAAGATGGGGCCAGTCAAGCTTCCTGTGGGAGAGACCAGCAACAGAGAAGGGACTCTTGTGTTTCACCACCAAATACACCTGTGAAGGAGGTGGGACCAAGAGAAAGGCCTCTCCCTATGATCTTAACACTCAATGAGTCTATAATGAGAGATGTGGTCTTTGAGATACCTTGGACCCAAGCCATTAGGGCTTTATAGGTTAGAACTAGCAATTTGAATTGTGCCCAGTAATATGAAGATTTCACCTCCAGGCCCGCTATGATTGCCTACCTGTGCCTTATAAAGATGATTTCACTCTTCGAAAACCTGTTAAATTCTAAAGTTACTGAGCAACAACTGAGTAAGTATCAGTACAGAAAGATGACCGTGGGAGCTGGAGCCTTAAGACATCAGGAGTGAGCTTGGTTGGGCAACTGTGGCATAGGATGTTCTTCATGTGGTAGAGTCAAGGCTTCAACATCAGGTGATATGATTTTTTGGCAGACTGGAGAGGAGGGGCTGATATTTATCTTGAACCTAACTTGCTTCATGAGCCACTATATGGAGAGCAAATGATGGTCACATTAGAAATATCAGAGTTCTTGTGGCAGAGTGGAATTGGAACTTCATGCACAGCTATCATTGGCTTGGTTATCTGTTCAGTTTGGATAACTCTTTGTAGGCTGAGTCATTAATGTACTTTTTCAGTGTGCTTCTTTTCTGTGGCAATGCATTACCTACATTGGAGTGGTATTAGTTCTTCAATAAACATAAAAGGTTAGTTGTGAAAATGCTGCAGAGCTAGTAAGTGAAGGAGAATAGTTTTTATTTCTTGTTCATCTTTTAACAATTAGAACAACCATGTCAGAATAACATTTGATGGTATTTTGTCTCCAAATGAAAGCATCTGGATGGACTAACAGGGGACAATAAGCACGTTGTGATGTCCCAAGACATTATTTCTTTCTATTGTTGGGTTTCTCTTACTACAGGTGCACCAGATCCCACTGCAGGGGCCAGCATTGATGATGAGAATTGCTGGCATTTGGATGAAGAACAGGTTCGAGAACAGGTGAAGCTGTTCCTCTCCCAAGGAGGGTACTATGGTTCTGGGAAACAACTCAATTCCATGTTTGCTAAGGTAGGACAGGTTTCCTTTTCTCCTTCCTCTTTGGTAGAAACTTCGCACCCACCTAAGTTGCAGCTTTGCATTATTCTTGTACTTTGCTGCCTTCTTCCCTGTGAGCTCCAGAAACTGGCTTCTAATACTCCAAACACTGCATCTCTCATTCCTTTCCAAATATATGGGGCTGATTTCAGTTGCTCATTGTCCACTAAAGATGGAGAAGAACTTGGAAATTTTCCCTTTTTTAGAGTTCCAACTCCCAGAATTCCCAACCATGCCATTGTAGCCAGAAAATAAATTTTCTAAACTGAGTTAAGGGAGTGCCTTCTGCTTTGTTTCAAGTTATTTTGTCACCAGGTTCAGAGAAACACAAATGAGATTGACATGTACTGTATGGCATTTAATAAATGAAGAAGTATGATCATAACATGGTCTGAGATGCAAAACGTCTGAGATGGTCTGAGATCAAACTCATCCCTGACATTGTTTTCCCCAATGCAGATCTCTCAGCCGTGCTTTATCATGCAGGATGTTCCAATCATTTTGAGTACATGAGGGCATACTGCAATATTTAGTAGCTAACAAAAATAATTTCCTGTATGCATCAAGTGAAATGACAAAATTGATTGCAATGAAGTGCCAGGCATAACCTGACTGGGGAATGTCTATAGTTGCTTTCCACAACTTGGTGCCGCCTATAACTCCCATAAACCCCCAAATAATATCAATGCATCTAGAAAACATAAAATTAGTGGAGGCTGGTTTATTGTTTATGTGTCTGTCAGGGGAAGGTTAACTTATCACATGAATGTTGGTTGCTGTAGTATTACGGGTAGGAGCACTAAGCATGCTAAGGGTGGTATACTAAGCATACATAACAATGAACTGTAGTTTATTCTTACTCTTATGTAAATGAACTTCAGGCTCATGTGCTCATCCCTTTTCCTCTTTTGCACAGCTATGAGATAAAAAGCTTGGATTTCCATACTCGGTTAACTTCTTTTTATGTTATGTCAAAATCCTCAAACAGGTTAATCTTAAACCTTAAATGTGTTTTAGCTTAACTATGATCTATGTAAACAAGCTATTCTCATAAATAACATTGGGAAGTTGGCTTATTTTAGTAAATCATAGTTGCAGCTAACTAAAAGTCTGGAATAAATGGTCTCTTCCCCACAATCCCTTAGAAATTTTTATTTCTTCTTCATGGCCTCTGTGAGTACACACTATAGGGTTTAATCTGCACTTGTGCACAGGTTTCTGGAATATTCTAGAGCTTTATCACGTGTTCGCCAGGACTGCCCCCCTGGTACATGTAGTCCTGGTGATTACCTGAGTTCCTTTTTGCTGCTGCTGAGATTTAATCTCCCCATTCGCCTTGCTTCTCCTTGTTTTTTCTGAAAAAGAAAGTTAGAGTGAAATCAGTAAGAGACTCTTCAACTGTTTTTTCCTTCTACTGACCCCCTCCCTTCCCTGTTTTCCCCCTTCCTGCCATTTTATGGCCCCCACAGGGCCATTAAAATGGTGCACCTCATGCCTTAATAAGATTCCCCTCTCTGACAGACACAACTCCTGTCTTTTCTGCCTGGGGGAATAACACCAGCCCTCATCGTGTCAAGCCTGCAGAAATCTCACTAAGCAGGCTCTCAAATTTAGGCAACAGTGCCTTAGGTCTTTCCTTTGGAAATGTTCCCTCCATCCTCGATTGACTTTGATGGAGACCACACCAACTTCCCAACCTCTGGCTGCTGCCTCTTCCAACATACCTTCTATCTCTCTGACATCCAGACTGTGTGATAAAGCTCTAGAATATTCACTGCCTCTTCCAACATACCTTCCATCTCTCTGACATACAAACAGACTGTGTGATAAAGCTCTAGAATATTCTGGAAACCTCTGCACAAGCGCAGATTAAACCCTATACAGTAGTACCTCAGTTTACAAAATTAATCCATCATCCGGCATGTTACATAATGCAGAAATTACGTAAACTGAAACATGGATTGCCGTAACAACGGGAGTGGTGCTAGAAATCTCCAGGTGCAATGTGTCCTTTTCATACAGCGACACCCCCCCCATAAAAACCGTAAACTGAGGCAATGCAATGTGTCTTTTTCATACAGCGACCCCCCCCCCGTAAAAACCGTAAACCGAGGCATTATTTTTTTTGGATTTTGGCTTGTAAACCGAAAATTACGTAAACCGAGGCGTATGTAAACTGAGGTACTACTGTAATGTGAATTCACAGGTGACCACTCGAAGAACCAGAGTTCCAAGTAAGTAACCTCTCTTCCTTAATTCAGAAAAAGGTAAATAAACAAAGTTCCTGAGTATTATCGTGGTATGAACCAACAACTCACAGGAGCTCTTGGGAATGAGGAACTTGGAAGCTTAGTATCTCACACAGTTGTTCGATCAGCCTGCACCATGAATAGAGGAATCATGACTTCAGTATTGTCAGTGCAGATTCTGCAGGAAGAGTCTGGAGATCACCACCAGCCCTCACATTTATGTTTCCCACATAGCTTCCATATTTATTTAAATATAACACAGTGAAGAATGAAGCAGAACTGCTCCTGAGAATAAAATTATTGAGTATAAACAACTCTGTTTCTTTTTCTGCCTCAGACCATTAGGAATGAAAGTGAGCCCAAGAGGAATGTGTTTAATATTGAAGTATGTATATAGCGTGGTGGTGCTGTGGGTTAAACCGCAGAAGCCTCTGTGCTGCAAGGTCAGAAGACCTGTAGTCATAAGATCGAATCCACGCAATGGAGTGAGCCCCCGTCGTCGCTTGTCCCAGCTCCTGCCAACCTAGCGGTTCGAAAGCATGCAAAATGCAAAAATGCGAGTAGATAAATAGGTACTACACTGGTGGGAAGGTAAACGGTGTTTTGTGTCTAGTTGTGCTTGCCAAGTGACCACGGAAGATTGTGTTCAGACAAATGCTAGCTCTATGGTTGGGAACAGAGATGAGCACCGCGCCCTAGAGTTGGACACAACTGGACAAATTGTCAAGGGGAACCTTTACCTTTTATATAGCAGAAGTGGAGAAATGGCAAGTTTCTTCCTTGAATATCAGCAATATCTGTCTGCCTTTTGACTCTCATTGAAGAGATCCCCCGACCCACAAGATGTTCTGGTCTTACTGAATAGATTCTGGTTTTTATTAGACAAGATATATATATTAGGAGCACATCCTCACAGCCATTTAGGTAGTACGTTACCAAATTTATTGCCACCCTGTAGAATTATGTTCCACGGAGGTAGTTTGTGGCTACCTTGAAACATGCAGAAGAAAGTCTTTCTTGTGCCTGTTAAATCTATTCACCATATCACTGAAAGTGCCTTTCTTCTCTGCCCCAGGTCCGGGAAATGCTGCGCATGAGAGATTCCAATGGAGCTAGGATGCTGACACTGATCACAGAACAGTTTATGGCAGACCCACGACTTGCTCTTTGGAGACAGCAAGGGACAGGCATGACAGACAAATGCCGACAGCTCTGGGATGAGCTGGGTGAGTTTCTGTGTTCTCTCTGGAATTTGATTGGAGAGGTCAATTTGTCCACAAGTTGTGACTGAGGAAGCCACAGAGGGCCCTTGTGGAGCACAAATCTGAAAGGCTGCTTGAATGCCGGGCCCCTGGGTACTGGCCCAGTTAGGAATCATGCACCACTCTATGGGTGGCAGCATGTTTGCATGCAAAGAGGCAGACAGAGTGAGTGAATGAGTACTACTGAGGGGGGAGGAGCCCATTCTAGAAGTGAATTCCCCTCCTCACTTTTAGAAACATAGGAAGCTCTAAGCCACTTTCCCATCGTTAATACTTGACTCTCTTTAAAGTGGAAATGCCAATGATAGTGCCTTTGAGATAAAGCCCATGCTATGTTGTGAAATTGTGATCCCTAATTCACCATCTGCCCTTTCTCCAGCTTGTGGACTTTTCTCAGAATGTTTGGGAAAATACTTTTCCTTCTGTTTTTTATTTGAGTAGAAAATGTGTAACACGTGGAGAGATCCATGCCTGCAGCTACTCTCTGCCTTTTAGTAACCAAGATTAGTGCCTCATATTGCTGGAAGCAATATTGGTTTGTGGGCCATACGTAAGGAAGAGTTTTATGTCTAAACTGTCATAACTTTCATTTGGGAGGTGGTAGCTCCTCCCACCAAAAATGTTTGCATCCATATCTGTCCACAGGTTATATTGAGCCTGGAAGTTAGTTAGTTAGTTAGTTGTGTGTCTGTCTGTCTGTCAGCCTGTCAGCTCTCATTCCATGGTTTGAAGGTGGCATGTTTCTGATAGAGTACAGTAAGATTAATCATAATTTTCTTATACAGTGGTGCCCCGCACAGCAACTGTAATCCGTTCTGAAAAAATCATCGCTGTACGGAATCGTCACTATGTGGGGCAAAAAAACCCATAGGAACGCATTAAAACACGTTTAATGTGTTCCTATGGGGGAAAAACTCACCTTTAAGCGAAAATCATCCATCCGGCCGCCATTTTCGGTTCCTCTAAAGCGAGGCAACACAGCGGGCGGCCATTTTGGAACCGCCGATTCATCTCTCTCTCTCTCTCTCTCTCTCTCTCTCTCTCTCTCTCCACCCCTTGCAGGTCCAGCCTGGGCCTCTCTCTCAGAGCCAGCCCGAAGCACAGCTGATGGGCGGGTGTTTGCAAAGATCGCAGGGAAGCCACCTTCGCAGCTGTGCTTCGGGGCTGTTTTTCGGTGGGGCCTTTGGTATGATCGTGGGGAAGCGTTTCCCCACGATCATCGCAAAGCGATTTCCCCCCATTTAAAACATCGCAATGCGATCGCTTTAGCGATTGCAAATACTCCATCGCTATGCGGATTCATCATCAAACGGGGTGCTCGTTAAGCGAGGCACCACTGTAATAAAAACAAGCTGCAATTAAGAAAAAATTGAAGGTTCTTTGTCATCACGGTAGTATCAAGAAAGGAACAGGGAGAAGTAGACAATCTCAAGGCTTGCTGTGGTTCATATCCATCATGGTAAACCATGGCTTATTGTGACATCTGAATGCAGCTGCTGTTTTCTTCAGTCCAGCTAGCAATTACTGAGCAAGTCATACAGACTAGTGTCGCTTTGATTAAATTATCTGTGAGTAGTGTTTGAGCTACATCTGTATTCTGCAGTCTGGGCTTGACATTCATCAAAGTTTTTTGTTTGTTTGTTTTTTGTTTGTTTGTTTGTTTGAAGTGATGAAGCTGCATCTCTGTTTAGAGGAATACCAGATGCAACTTCAGTATGAATGCAGCTCTTTCTATGTGCATGTTTTTGAAAAGAATAGTGAGGACAGGTGAACATAGAGGGAGAGAGGGGGCAAAAGGATTAAGGAGACAAGAACTGCAGCCCATTAATCAAGGGGAATATGAGTCCAAACTCCTTTTCTTCTTTCCACAACTTGGTTCTGAGGATCAAATTCTATGTTACAGATAAACCACCATTAAAAGAGGGGGATTCCTCAAAATGTGTAAGACATGATTATCACAGTAGGAATTTTCCCACTTCTCAAAATTTGCAGACTATCTGGCTTTGTTTTGTGACTGGTCTTCTGAATTTAAACTGGTCTTCTGAATCACATTCCTGGAACACAACTTCTGAGCAAACTGTGACATACAGTTATGCCCAAGGTCTTTAGCACATCTCATCCATGAGCATTCATGAAAAGAACTATTCTACATAAAAAATAAAATTGAAGAAAATCTACATATACACTTAACATGCTCTCCTCCCCACTGGGACCAATGGAGATACTGTTATTTCCTTTCTTTTATGAAGCCCTGTGCCCCTTCAAAAAAAAAAATTGACTCTTGTGAAGGCACAAAATCCTTCCCTTTTACTAATGCAAAATCAGTAAATTCTTCCCATATATCTCTGAACACGTTCTTATTTGACATTCCTTTTCCTACTTTAATATTACATGTTAATTTATCATGAATAGCTATATTCCACACTTCTTCATTCACTTCTTTATACCATTCCTTTAACTGGAGATCACACTTAACTTTTCAGTTCTTTGCTGTTATTAATTTAGCCACTGTTACTAGATTCGTGGGACGTGGTGGCGCTGTAGGTTAAACCGCAGAAGTCCCTGTGCTGCAAGGGCAGAAGACCTGCAGTCGTAAGATCGAATCCATGCAACGGAGTGAGCTCCCATCACTTGTCCCAGCTCCTGCCAACCTAGCAGTTCGAAAGCATGTAAAAATGCGAATAAATAGGTACCACGACGGTGGGAAGGTAACGGCGTTCTGTATCTAGTCGTGCTGGCCACATGACCACGGAAACTGTCTACGGACAAAGGCTGGCTCTATGGCTTGGAGACGGGGATGAGCACTAAACCCTAGAGTCGGACACGGCTGGACTAAATGTCAAGGGGAATCCTTTACTAGATTTGTGATCAGTTCTTTCATTGTCCAGTTTCATTGGTCTCTCTCAAATATTGATAAAAGTGCTATTTTGGGACATATTCCTAAATTTAACTTTAACATTTTACTTATTTCTTTAAAAACCGACTAATAAACATTTTTAATAAAGAAAATATTTGTGAAAAAGAATTTGGCAAAAATCACCATGAGTAGGACATGTAACACCAAATCAATATTTATGCAATAAATGTTCCCCTTCATTCTGCACCAGTGCTACCACGGTACCATACCATTTTGCTATCTCTTTGTTTGCCTTTCCTTAGTTGGAGAATACATCTCCCTTTTAAACATGATAAATAGATTTAAAACTATTGTCTTTCAACAAGGCTTCTCCAGCCTTTGCTATGCTGTGGAGGCACCAACTTAGAAAGCTTCACTCTCAAAAGGTCCTACATTCAGGTGGGCGATCTTGGCTTGGCTGAGGGACATTTTTCAGATTTGTGAGCAGTCAAGGGTCCACATTCTCAAGAGGGCTGGACATGCTGCGTGTAGCATTTTTTGGGGGGGTTTGTTAACTAGAAACGAGTTTCATTAAACAAGGTTTTTAAACCCTTTAAAAAAATTGAAAAAGTCCCCTTACATCTTCTACTAGCCAAAAAGTAATGTTTTTAAAAGATTTAAACAACAACAAATCACATATGTTCACACACAAATCACACAGAGGTGCCGGGAGCCTCTGAAGTCATGCCAGAATTTCCACACACAGCCCCTAGAGCAGCGATGGCAAACCAATGGCATGCGTGCCACAGCTGTCACGCAGAGCCCTTTTTGTGGGCACGCGAGCCATAAATCGCCAGATCGCTACCCCTCCCCGCAGCCAAAACTCAGGAGGTGGCCACAGCTGGCACTGGCGGCGAATCTGGAGTGGGGTCTTGAGGCACCTCTGTGCCGGGGATTCCCCCTTCTGTCACCACTTCAGGTTCTGCCACCGCTGGAGCACACAGCGGCGTGCTGCAACATTCCCCCCCCCCCCAGTTTGGTGGGTACTCGGGCCCAAAAAGGTTTGCCACCACTGCCGTAGAGGGTACAAAGTAACTTTCTAAGTAAAATTTCCCACCTAAAAGCTTAAAACAGGTTTTCGGGGGCAGGTAGAGGTCCTGGGGAGCCATATGTCTCCCACCCCAGCCTATACACATATTGATCTTTGTGGCAAGAAAAGAAATGGACACCTTAAAATATGCCTGTTTGTGTGTTTGAGCCAAATTATACCACATCGGACTCATCATGTACAGTAGGTATCTTGTAATTTGGGAAGAGATTTGAGTGAAGGAAGAGAGCTGCTTTTATTCTTGGTAAAACAGACATTTCTAAATGTGAAAGTGCTCAGGTGGACATTGCCAGCTGAAACACAAGAAAGACAGGTCATCTTGGAATCCTTGAAGCTTTAATCACCGTGCAGTAATGCTGGAGATTAGATCCTAATTGTGAGAAGATTGAAAACAGCTGGACTACAGCTTGACCTTAATCTGTCTGAAAATTGTTTATGTATTTTCTTTTCTTTTCTTTCAGTTAGAGACTGGACCAGATTGATTAGGGGAGCAAATATAAGAAAAATAGGATGGGTTCAGGTATAATGCTAAATACTGTATACAAGATTCAAACTGTTGCAGTTGCTTTCTGTCCTTACTGATATTTGGTCAGCCATGTTTGCTATTTTGTCTGAACTGGCAACTGTTGTTTGTGCAACCCACTTAAGAAGAGGAAGAGATGGGAATGCATGAATCTTAGACTCCTTATAATGCTAAATCACGAACTAAGTTGTTGTTATTTTCAATTGACCAAATACTATCAATTCATTGGCATGGCAATCACCTCTGTCTTGACCTCTGGACAATCTTGGGGTATATTTCTGCTAGGCACTCTCATGTTTCAGTACCAGTGAAACATCTTATGTCTAAACTGTCATTACAAGTGTTGTGAATAAACTGTCTGCTATGGCAGTGATGATGATGATGATGATGTCACCCCTGAAAAATTTCTGTAGAATCCTAACTAGGGATGGCCACTGTCTACAGAAAAAAAAAATTAGAGTACTGTATACCTTTTATTAATCTGTAATCACCCTGTT